AAAAAAAAAAAAAAAAAATGAATGAATAAATGCGGCTACTTGACAGAGTAGAACCAAAAGTAACTAAAATAGCTGAAAAACACTGGATATGCAACTAGAAAAGATACTCAGATGAGCAGTAGGAATGTGCTTCAATAAATGTTTTCAGCTCAAACACTGAACAAATGCTGGAGCTTCTGCAAACAGGGTTAACACAGGAGATAAAAAGCAAGCTATTCTGTGCCACCTGTGCTTGGCTAATTTGCTACTCTGCTCATATAAATACAAACCAATAAACTCTGAATTCTAAACAAATAAATACAGGCAATAAACACTGCATTCTAAATATAACGTGAGAGATAAGATTATTTCCTATTTCATATCACTTCTCTCTTTCTTAGAAGTTTTGTTTCAGTTCTAAGCATTGGCAAAGGGTACAGTGGTGCTCTGTTTTAGAAAGGACTTGAACAATAGACAGTTAGAAATTGGTATTGCTACTCACTGTGCTTAGGATCTTGAAAAGAGTTTTTGGGGCAGCCTGAGCTTTGCAGTTCTTCAAGTATGAAGCCCAGTTAAATTCCCCATCTTTGTAACCTAGACAAAGAAAGAGATACTGATTGTTAAAAAGCCTATGTCATACTGTACAGTAGCTTGAATATTCAGATTGCTTTTTCAGAAATAGAAACAGTATGGGAAGAATTTTAACTTTGCATGATAGCTGTCCTTGTGGAACAGTTAGGGTCACCAGGCTTCTATCCATATTTCTCCTTTTTTTTTTCCTTCTATTTTAAATACATTAGTGCAGTTGTGAATCATTAATTTGAAACTTCAAAAATCTCTATGAAACAAAATAGGTACTGAATTCATTTGTTAAATTATGTATTCCTGAAAGAAGTTCCAATTATTTAACATTTCTAATGCTTGACTTTAATGGAAAAGCATGCATCACTTCTTAAATTACAGGGTAAATACATGTAAGCTTTACTTCTCATTAGATTCTCCAATATATACACCTCAAAACAAAACAAAAAATCCTAGTAGTTCATTTTCATTGTGACACAAATCCAGCTGAGTGACTTTGGGCCAGTCACTCTCTCTCAGCTCTAGGAAGAAGGCAGTGGCAAACTACTTCCACAAATCTTGGCAAGAAAACTGCAGAGACTAGTCCAGGAAGTCATCAGGAATCAACACTGACTCGAAGGCACCCACATAAACATGGTAGAAAAAATGTGTTTAATCTTTCAGATACATGAATATATACAGGAAAAAAATACTATGTTGCTATTGTGCAAAGTGGGTGTCAGGTTTGATCTCAATTACTTCTTTCCTTTATAAGCAATTCAGTAATTTACATGAGATTAGTCTCTTCATTAAGGCTATTGCTTGGTTCAAGCACAATTAGTTTAAACTAAGTTTTTCAGAAACAAGCCTTGATCAGATTATAGATCAAAAAGAGTGGAGCTCCCAGTTTCAACAAAATGAGAATATACTGTTATTTGAAAAAATGTGTCCACTCCCTTCATCACAACACAAAGAAGGGAAGGAGAAGCATTTAAGGTCACTAAACAAAGTTGCACCAAGATGATCAGCCTAGGAACAACTGCTTTGTGCCTGGAAGACCTGGCACACAAGAGACTCTGGTCCAAATAGGGGTTGAGCAAACTGGATTTAGTCCATAGTCCCATCTCTGTTCTAGAATGCTTAGAAATATAAAACCATATAAATATGTATGTGTACACACACGCACACCTGCCTACTTACCTACCTACTTACATACCTTTAGGAGGGAGCAGCTTGTGACCAGTTTTTTCACACCAGCCAACAGGATGGATATCTGGAGAATCGGCATTAACCCAGAAGTCATAGCACTCTGAATAACCATCAAAATGTAATCGCATTCGGTACCCCTGCACCTGTAACCATCCACAAGTGCAAGATTGTTACCACTTTTGAAAGTCACAAAAAATGCACACTGTGTTAAAAAATTCTGCTCCCTTTAAGTGAGTGCTTTTCAACATGATAACTTTTAATAGTGGATGATTTATATTAAAAGAAAATGTATCCATCCATCCATCCATCCCTTAATTTATTGCTGACCTAGTGCCTGTTTCTGTAGCCTTTACTCAGTAGAACTCAAACATCTATAATGAAAGGAACACTATGGTGGAGTTCTGCTTGGTGTAGGCCTTTATAAGAGACACCCAAGGATTATATAAAAAGCCAATTAAATATGTTCAGATTGTTGGCCTTACCCGCCAATATCTTTTCAGGTTACCAATATATTTTTTTTTGAAGCTGAAAATTATTCAATTCATTCGTCAGTATGTATATCACACTGTCAATAAGTATATTAAAAATGTTTTAAAATGAGCAGTCAGGCATTTTGATTAACTTGAAATGAGGCAGTACTTTGGCCGGAACTAATTAACTGATCTCTGACATGCTTTTTATCTCTCATCCATTTATTTTCTCCATTATTCTAGAAAATCAGATTGGTACCTCAGCAACAGAAAGGACACAACATAACGATGGATGCTCAGGGTCCAGTCCTTCAAGCTTCATTCCAACTTTAAATCCATTTTTGTTTTGTGGAAAGGACTGAGACTATAGTGGAAAGAAATAAAACATCATTGTAGATCTAACAAAGAACAAATGTCAATACTCTGTGGGGAAAACAAGAAAATGAAGCAGAAGTGTCAAGTGTATTCCTTTTCCATAATTAAGATCAACTGACACTCTTTAACGTGTTCTTATTTTTTATGTGGGAGTAAGTTGTTTGTAGAAATGAAGGACTATCAAAGTTTAGTTTAATTCTGAGTTAATGCAGTGTCTGAACTGATAGACTTGTGCTTATAGTCTAAAATGATACCTTAATGACAAACCATGGATTGTTCACTTCTTAACTGACATGCTGATAGACTGCTGATACTCAGAGACTGCTGCACTTTGGAGATAGAAGTAAACCGAAGAAGTTAAATGAAGAGGAGGGGAAAAAAGAGGCAAATAGCTATAATGCTTAATTTTGACTATTCTACATGTGGATACCCTAACTGTGGCTTCATACCCTAAACTTTAGTTAGTGCAAACCATGATTTGACATGGTGTCTGGATTGAACTTCTGACTCTGACCTGTGTAAGTATCAGACAAGAGACAATATTATTCTGAAATCTGGACTCAGGCAAACATTAAATAAAACTCTGTTGATGACAGCTGAAAGCTTTTTTAAAATCAGTGCCCATTTCTTCTAAGAAGCAGAGCTTTACAGACAGAACTGAATAAAGTTTAGACCTGCCAGTGAAATATGATTCAGATTAAGCATCTTCCCAATGCTCCGTGTGCTATTTTCTATTATCTCCATTTTATTTGAAGAAATTGAAAGAATTTAGTACAGAGATGCTATGTTCACATTTTCTACAATTTGGTTTTGTGCATATTTTTAGATATGGCAATTGGCTGCTACTTGTACCCTCACTTGTAATGATTACTTTTTAATAAGATAATCTACAACATGCTAAAAGTCAAGGGCCAATTAATGTCAGCACTCTACTAATTACCAAAGCTGAAACTAGCTTTACATAGTTGCTGGCTGAGATACGATACTGGTGCCAAGTAATTTCATGGATACAAATTAAAACAGGGGTTGTGGGTAAAATTAAATGTAAAGATTAAACTGCCTACAATGGTTAATTCACATATTATCCTTTTAACAAGCGAGATGCACAATAAAGCCTCCCCCCAACAGTTTACACTGAATCCCTTTCCTGGCAGCTGCTGATAGAGGTTTGTCTTGTTCCCTCCTTCTCGTGCCCAGCATGCCCTCCCAACAAGAAACCCTGGCCCGAGTTGCCACTTTTTTCTATTGAACTCAGACAAAGTAAATGCAGTTTGAGGGCAATCTAAATCTTATACTAAGATTATAAATCAGGATCACATTTATGGTGTGCACTCATGACTTGTAAGGAGTGCTGAGATGCGGTTCCCTGCTTGGATGCCATGAGAAAACTAATACTACTCTTCTACAGGCAGTCATGCAAGATGAGGAGGAAGAATGAAGGAGGAGGTGAAAGAATACCTATCTCCACACTAACAAACTATTTTGAAAGACTCAAAGCCAGTGTGAAACTGCCACATAATCATAATATGAAAGACAAGTGGGTTTGGGCCTCTTTAGGTTTCTTAAAATGATGATGAACCCAGGCTTTTTTATTCGCTGCAGCATTAAAGAAGCCAAGTTGGTGTTATTTCTTCCAGTAAAAGAGATCTGAGGGGAGCAGGATGTGTAGGCTTTTATTGTCCTCAACACGTCCCATCCCATTACAGTATCTAGTTCTTTAGTCTCCCACCCACAAAAGGTACCAGAGCAATACAAAGAACTTCACATATTCAATATTCATCAACAAGAAAACATCTAGAAGGCTGCAAACCTCTTTGAAAAGTTTCAAGGGAGCAGCTGGCATTCGTTCTTCATCTAAATATGTCATCCAGTTCCAAACATTCTTCTTTCCAGGAAGAACTGAGAAATCAAAGATAGAATGAAAAAAAATGTTTCTGGGAGGCAGAGTATTGAACCACAAAGATCCATGGAGAGAGCAAAGTGGGACGAGTGCTAAAACATTTGTCACAATACACTTATGTATTTGTGTGCAACATCATGATGACACTGTACGTAATAGAGCTTGCATTGTGATGTAATAATGCATTTTGCCGTTTTGACATTATCGTGTTTAAAATTGGATACCTATGTATTGAACAGAGGGCTATATATGTAATTCTACTTGCCATGTAAATATTTGATTGGATAGGCATAACCTTCTCATCACAATAGCTGGATAGCAGATTTCAAGAATCACAGTTCTAATGCCATTATCATCTTCTTTTAGGTGATTAATGCATCTTCTCATTTATCACACTTACAACACAATCCCATACATATTCACTCAGAATTAAATCCTTTTGAATGGATCTTACAAATAAGTAGATATAAAATTCTATACCCACAATATAAATCATATATTGTTACACTGCCCATTTTATCACCCATGGCATCTGGCACTCAATTATCAGAAATGTTAGTTGTCTCTCTTACAATCTTCCTTCTGCAAGACTTAATTTGGACAACTACTGTAAAGTCTGTAAAGTTTCTAGCAATAGCTATGGCTTGCAGAAGCCAGTTGATATCCTCTTCTCATCATTTTTTCAGGTTTGGGTTTTGTTCTGTACTTCAAATTTTGTACTTGTGTTTTAATGGTCTGAGACCATAAACAAACAATTTTGGCATTTTGGGGGAGACTGCAGATATAGTTTACAGTTTACAGAAGGGACTATGGCCAGATGATGTGAAATGAAATGTTCTAATATTGTGGCCCCTCCAATAATACATTTCATGGACTATAAAAGTTATGTGTAAAATTGATGGAACATTCTTTATAACATTCGTATACTGGATAATATTACAGAGGTTGCCAAAGTACTGAATTTATAGCAGCATTTTGCCATGGAATAGTTGAAGATCAGTTTTGCACTCTTACCTTGCTTAACTGGTTTAGCATTCCTGCGGTTTTTCAGATTCAATTTATTCTTTTCCTAGATAATAGAAACTAGATGAAAATACACTGACATTTTTCACATATAGTTGAATGTCATTTTCCCTCTTTTGCAATATTTATTTTTCTCTCAGTATTTTAAATTGCCATGGCAGAAATATAGTATATAAATAAAACAAATAAACTACTTTAAATACACTATCTGCCATTCAGAGCAAAATAACCATTTTAAACTTTCTAATGTGGTGGCATTCTCTGAATGCTAAATTTCAACATGTCAACTAATTTCTGATTTCCAGGAGTGAATTGGTGGTATGTGTTGTTTGTCAAAATCTGATTCCGAACTAATATTTTTCTGATAAAAGAGCAAAGAAGAGAGATTTCCAATAATCTTCTTTTTTTCCTTTTCTTTTAATATAACATCACAGTGTTATCATATTTATATGTATGCAGTATGTATATTTTGGTTTGTTTTGTTTGCCATAATAAATAACATTTCTAAAAATATTGCTTAAATATAAAAGGATTAATTAAATTTACATGGTTAATTTTTATCACTGCAAGTTTCATTATAGCCTTCTGGCTACTCTTTCACTTAAAGAAATCACATTTAGTTACCTCCTCCTCATCTGCATTTTCTTCTTCATCTTCAGAATCTAAAAGCAACTTCCTTTTCCTTCGAAGCCGCTTGGACGGTCTATCAGTTTCATAAACCTGACTGTTATTTGTCTGTTTTCCACAGTTGGTGGTATTGTCCTTAGAAATTCTATCAAAAGATTTAATTTAAAATAAATGAAAGCAGTCGTGTGCACTTAGAAATCATTGTCTTTTAGATGGTATCAATGGTTATTTTAAATCTGGATCATTTTTTTCTCTACAGACCTAGCAATTTAAATAATACTGTGAGGCTCCACATTCTCCATCTGTCTTGCGTGGAGATTATATGTGGCTACATCAGATATTGCCTCTATAGTATTGATTTTGTAGAGTTCCTTTCCGAGGAAGGCTTGCCTCACATCCTCATTCATACATTAGATAACCAGTGTTGGTATTTCAGAATGCATTTAGGGTTGTGTCCCATTTATTGTTGCTGATTCTTCTATATTACTGCTCTAGCATCATTTTTAATTCTTTGCTTTTATATTATTGCTAAACCACCTCATTCAAGTCCTTTTTCAGTCTCCTGAATTGATCCAGCATAGACAATAAGGCTGCAAGACATGTGACTAGTAAGCCACAAGTATGGATTAAAGTAGGGCACTAACTCAACTGTTATACCCTGATTAAGTTTTTCAGCTTTAGATAGTTAATACTACTTCTCCCCTAATTAGAAATTAATGGATTTTAAGGACATGAAAATCACATAGGTTGCGTCTCTTGAAGCAAAGGCCCAGAGTTGCATTGGTGAGATGGGCAGTCATATAAATCGAAATAAACAAGCATATACATAAATTAACTGCACACAAAATGTAGGGTATAATAGCCTACAACAGAGAGAAATCTGGGAGGGACAGTTGAAAAAACAATTGCATTTTGTATTAAAACCAAAAGAGTTAGGGCTCCTTTTTCTGTTTCCCTATGAAATAATGATCACCAATTCAATTTTTAATTGAAAAATTAAACTGAATTAAAGCAAACTGAAATCCCTCTGCAAAAGATATTCCACTGAATCATTTGCACAGTCTCATTTCTTACCCTCCTGTTAGTTCTCAATATCCTTTCCAAAACATGGACATGAGAATCCAGAGACTACTGTTCAATAATAGGCTTTCAGAAATAATTTTGCACAGTTCAAAAACTGTGGATGTGAACCTTTAATCCTCTTATTTCTTTTAAAGTGACCTTTCCAACATAGATGGGTTGCATCAGGCAGCTATACTGTTATTTGGCCTTCTAATACAGAAAGATAAATGCAGATTTTATTTGTACCACATGACTATATTCATGTTAGTATGTATTTTAATGAAACAAGGCAAGCAAGCAAAGGCATCACCTGTCTTTACTTTCCTGATGAGAATTCTCAAAGCCGTCCATTTGTCCAGGGTGGGCGAGTTGTGAGTTCTGGTCTGGCAATGCTGTCTTTGGGGTCTGCAAAATCCAACCACTGGCAATGAATAAAAATATTTGGGACTTCAAATATTTATTATGTAACAAACTCCCTCTCTGCTTTTTCAGTCTTTCATTAGTTGTATCTCACATTCTCTAGCAGCTGAATTAATCATTATGGATTTTAATGAAAATGCTATATACTCATACCTAAGCCCAAGCCACAAACAGCTGACACGTCTGTGATATTTTAATTGTGGAGGAGCTTCTGAAATGAGCTGGTCTGAAAATTTGTTAAAGGCCTCTGGATACTCATTTATATTGATAAATTCCAGAGGAGGAAGCTATGTGTATTCTTTGCAGCAAAAATACTAAGAGCAGGTTGTGGTACGTACTTTAAAGACTTACAAATGACTTTAATGGATGTTACAGACACCTCATTAAAAATATCCTTTAAGGATACATCCAAGAAATGAGTGATTGAATTAAGTGTGATGACTTAATTGAATCACAGAGCTTCCCTCTACAATTTCTCCTATCTAGTGTAATGGGTATTCTGATAATTCAACCCCTGTACTTCAAATTCAAAGTAGTCTTTCCATTATATTTATATAGTTCTTAAGGACAAATATAAACTACAACTAGTAACAATACTAAATGGCATATTTAAGAATTATTTTACTAATGCAACAATCAATAGATAGCAAGCTACAGCATAAATCATGCCTGCCAACATGTCATTGGAGAATTTGGTTCTTTTGTTTTAGGTTAGCTTCACACTCTTGAACTATTTCATATTTTAACTCCCAGTCTAGGGCTCACCTTTAGGATTAAAGGTAGTTATATTGCTGGAGACAGAAGGAGACAAGCTATAGATAGCTATAGCTGAACTGGCATTTACTGAAAATGCAGAGAGAGCATGTATGACTTTCTTCAACCACCTAATGAAGTCACTGTTCCAAATTCACTTAAACAAATATACAAAAGGAAACAAGATGAATTAAACATATAATCAAACAATATGAACAGATTTTGGAAGGAAGTACAGAAGACATTTCTATCAAAGAAACGCAGAGTAAATATTGTCCTGATAACAATTGCTAAAACATTACCAGTTTGTCTTAGACACCTATGAAATGGATATAAATTTACTTCAGTGTTCATGGTGCAAATATTATTGGCATAACATGAAGCAAACTAAAAAACCTATGGTGATATGATAGGGAATGCTATTCAAACTTATAGCACTTTTTAAGGTAGAGACACATTTTTTGGTAGGGCCACTTGTATGGAATCCAAATCTGGAAAGAGAAAGACAATGACTGCCAATATCTGGTGGACTGAAAGGGGCCTCAGAAGACCATGTTGATGTTGTCTTGCTACAATAGTCATAAAGTTCTAAGCACTCATCCTGGACACTCCAGATAAGTGGGCTTTAGCTCTCAGAATTTTTAACAATAGCCACAGAGGCTGAGAAATTCTAAAAGTAGAAGTCCATACATCTGGAAACCTCCCAGGCTGGGGGAAGTTGTTTTAGTATATACAGTAATAACCTAAAGAAGAAAACAATGTTTTTCTATTAATCAGATAACATTATAATTCCTCATACTTAGCTATCCTTAAAGAGTGCTAGATAGTATTTCTACTCCATAATTTACTTTACATTTCTACAAAGGCTCCTTTTAACATTTCACTGGTATCTGCTATTGTTTACCAAGTCATTATTTCTAATCAATGTTAAACATTAAGTTCTAATGATTTCAGTGTGAAAGATTTAAGGTGCATTAAATCCAAGGTGCTTCATTTTGATTGAATGTTACTCCATTTCAGGAACAGACCTGTTATTAACTTTAAATGACAATATAATATTTTAAAATACAGAAATAAATGATAGAAAACTAAGATCTCAAGACCCCTGAAAAGCAAGGGAAGACCTTTTTTGGTCTTAACCAGTTTATGGCAACTAAGTAGTATGATATTGTTTGTTCTGCAATTAAATTGATTCATCCCAGGTCGATACAACAGTGTCTTACTGAAAAATGCAGTTTAGGCAACTTAGTCAATAGATATACACAGACCCAATGATTTGTATTAATGGAACAACACAGAATGCCCACAGGGGGGTTAAAATGTTGACCTCAGCACAATTATGTACAAAGACAAGAGGAAATTACAGGAAGGAGATGATTATATTATTGAACGTTATTACAATATTATTTTATTTTAAAATTATGCTAATCTTGACATCACTCTTTAAATTTAATTAACCAACTGATTAGGTATCACCTGTCATTGATTTATGAAAAGTGTCTAAACCAACTTTAAAAATAATTTGCTGTAGTCTACAAGCCTCAGTCCTGAATATGAGATCAGAAGTGAAAAAATGTTCTCTACAAATGATACTTTTATTGTGGAGTTGGTGCTCTGAGCTTGGTTGTTTGCTTGTAGACATCAGCCATCAATAGACAGATAAACCACATTTACACACCATTCAAAAGATACAATAAAAGAACTAAGAAGAAACAAAAAGACCAGAATGCATCCTCGCCAGCAACCAACAATCAGATAAGCAGGAATTAACACCAGAAAACAATCAAGAAGAAAACAATTCCCTAATCAAGGAACTACCAAAGAGAAAACCACACCCCCACCAACACTGGCAAGGCAAGCTACTGTATTAAAAAAACAGGGAGCAAACCCCACATTCACTAGCACTGATGATGTTACTCAGTCAGGTAATGAAATGCCTGCAAGCAAACAACCAAGCTCAGAGAGCACCAAGGACTCCACAGTTCAACCCTGAGCTACATATAACAAACAACCAAGCTCAGAGAGCACCAAGGACTCCACAGTTCAACCCTGAGCTACATATAACAAACAACCAAGCTCAGAGAGCACCAAGGACTCCACAGTTCAACCCTGAGCTACATATAATTTCTTCTACTGTATACTTTTATTTCATAATAGCTAAATGAGCTCTGCATCAGATAAAATCCTTTAATGGTATTTAGTACTTGAAGATACTATTTTTAATAAAGACTTTAACAGAGTAAAAAAATAAATAATATACAGTGGTACTTCGGGTTACGAATTTAATCCGTTCCGTGTCTCTGGTCGCAACCCGATTTGTTCGCAACCTGAAGCAAATTTTCCCATAAGGTTCAATGTA